CTAAGGAAGTTTCCACAAAAGCAATAAAACCACAAGCAAGGAATAAGACACATTTCAAAGATTTGTATACTTGTATAAATTTAGTTACTTCTATCTGTCCAACGCATTCGATAATCAGTCGTGTGTGTTTGCACGGTGCTAGTGAAGAAAGCTCTTTGTCCATCTTCTGTCTTGGAAAAAAAAGAACATGTGAGTTACTAGATAATAACTGGATTGCCAATAATACTACTTTCCATGCTAATAACTGGATTGCGAATAATTCTACTTTCCTTGCTAATAACCTCAGGTTCCCCTGAAGCTCATATCCGCTATGAAAGGCAGCCGTGAAAAGCACAATGGTACATCACCCAAGAAGCTATCCGTGGTGTGGGCTCCTGATGTATACGACCCGATCCCAACTTCAGTCTCACACGTACCGACCGACAGGAACCAACGCCATCGAAATAATGGCAGAAAATCGGGCAAATACAAGCAGAAGAATAGCGGCAAATCATCCTCACGAGGTGGCAAGAGCAAGGACAAGAAACAGGTCCGAAAAAGCTCCGCTGGGCCCAGTAGTAGTAATGGTAAGCTCAAACAACCTTTTCCGATGGGGGGTGGAATCGTTTTGGGCCGAAGTTTGGATTACAATGTTGTCGGTGGCCCGGACCCATTATGCGGGAGTAGTTTTCTGAAGGAATCGGTCACCGTGTTGCATTTTCCAGTTGCTGAGGCTACTTGATGGGTGGGTGTGGCTTTTCTTGTTTGTCTGCGACTGTTGTGTCATTTTGTTTATTTTTATATCTTTTCTTAAATCCCCAGGGTAAATAAATAATTTGGGGGCAGGATCTTGTTTGGATGTTTAGGAGACGTGCTGTTGATCTGACTTTGCACTTTTGTTGTTTGGATATTATTTGTTTCTTTTGTTAGTTTGCCTTGTTGGGGTCTATTTTGTTCTAGTTATTAGTTATCACTATATTCTTATAGGGTCTATTTTTGGGGAAATACATTTCCGTTACGGAACCATTCGGATAGATTTTTAAACCATTTGATACACATGTGGATTAGTGTACAATAGATCATCTACGGTTTAAAAATCTCGACGGAATGGTTTCATAACGGGAACCTAGTATTTCTCCTATTTATCTATTGATGTTCATAGTTAGGCTTTATGCGGTTTAAAGTGACATTATGCGTTCTAATTCGGTAAGTTGTATGATGTTGCGATTTTTTAAAGAAAAATATAAAATAGAAAGGTGTAGAAGTATGTGGGAAGATTCGATGGGGATATCGATCTTATCAACAGTGCAAATCCTACAGTAGTGTTAGTGGGATAATATTAAAAGACTTTATCTCTTAGATGCTAAATTCGACTGATGACGAAAAGAGAGAATAGGAATAAAGGGGCAACTTTTCGAACTAGTATGTCTATCTGGTGATTACTAGCGAGCCTTAATTCAAGACGATGAATTTGTTGGGCTATTGGTTAAAAGGATACAAATTTTGGCCGACTATTTTTGATTTTTTGATGCAATATTTGGGCTGGGCTAGGTTTGGTTAGGGGATACAATATTGAGGAATTTGCACCCTACACTTGAAGATATGACTTATATTACAATTATACACTTAATACATTATTATTTATAATATTACGAAACCAATCAAAAAATATTGCAAATCTACCTAAGAGTATCCGTGTAACTGATATTGCAATTAAAAAACCAGACTCCTAAATCGACCATGAGTGCGGAAAACCATAAAGAAGCCCCTAATTCCAAACCCTAGTTTCTATATCCTCACTCGACGGAAGAACATGTCGCACTTCGGTAGATTTGGATGGCATGAAGCACACTTCCTCGATTTCTGGTATTTACTTACTCCCTTCAGATCCATGCCTGCACGTCTCCTATTTTCTCCTTAGTTTCGCGTTGTCTGTTATTTTAATCTTCACGATGAAGCTCCTCAGATCTGTTTTTTTAAGCTTAAATTTCGTATAGATCTTGTGTTTTCTGTGCGACTCCTTGAGTTGAAATCTGGATTCGTGGATGTGTAGAAAATTGGGACACAATCGAGGACAAAATTGACCCGGGCTACGACGACTGCGGGGATGAGGGCACCGTCGCCAAGACAAAATTGACCCCAGCTACAAAGTGGTGGATGTGTTCATTCGCAAGATTTATCATTTGCAGAGTTGCAATTTTTTTTATTTATTTAGTTGAAACATTCATGAGATTCGAATTAGCTGATTTATATACTCGAGACTT